AGGAGTGACCCCATCAATACCAAACTAAACTGGGGGGTTGGATGGCCGAATGGTTAGCACGTGCGTGCTGTATCATAAGGTCTGTCATTGAATCAACTGGCGTGGTTTCGAATCCCCGGTTGTACGTGACAAGGAGTAGGATCGCCTGTCCAGCCTCGTGGGTTTTCTCCGGGTCCTCCGGTTTCCTCCCACTGCTAAAGACCCCTACGCGCAAGCGAATTATTGAAATAAAATTGAACCATATGTTAGTCCCGAAATGACCTAGTTTGAGTCGAGTGGACGTTAAACCCCATTTCTCTCTCTATCTACCAAACTAAACTCTCAATGAATCTCATGAGGTGAAGGGTGTCAAATGTGCTATTTAGAGGGATTAGCAGTTGGGCCAAACACAAATTGCGAAGAAAAGCTTCCACCATACATTTATATTCAGTTGTGACCCCCTTAATACCATCAAAAATGTCACTAGAGGAAGGGGGTTGAATATGCTACATAAACGCCTTTTAAACTCGCCGTCGTTACTTCGGGAATATGCATAAACGCAAACATTGAGTCTTTTCGTGGCGTTGACCAAAACGTCCAAATACATTGATCATGGGGGATCACGTGGCTAAGTGGGTAAGACGCTGGCTCGCTAGCCTGGAGGTCGGGTGTTCGATCCCTGCATTGGCCGAGAAAGTTCAGATTTTCCGACGTGGTTTCCCCCTTGTCAGTGATGCAGGATTGAGGGCCTGACAAGGACAGTTGTCTAGTCGTTCGGATGGGACGAAAAACCGAGGTCCCGTGTACACATTGGCGTGCAAATAAAATATCCCTTGGTAGTAGGGAATTCGATATAAGAGTAGGCCGTAGCGCGCTGCCCGGGCAAAGTTTCCCTCATAGCACACTGTATGGCGTATGCCCGTCTTCATTAGCCCAGGTTAGGAGTAGAACAGTAGGTCGTTAAAACCCATTTCATTTCATTTCATTTACGTTGACCATGGTGTCTAACCATATGTTATCAGTATCCAGAAAATCGTAGAAGCTATTCTTAACAAGAAAAATTATGTTGCATCATAGGTAATATGCAAATCAGTGACGTATCTGCGTACAATAGCACATATGGCAAGCACTGAAATAGACCTTTGCAACACGGATTTTGTTCACACAAATTTACCCTTAAATCAACTAAAAAATAAAAGTAAATTTCGTTAATCTTTTATTTAACAAATTATGGCACTCTTTGAAAATAACAACTGCACCTTACTCGATTTCACAGGGGCGGATCCAGGAATTTTTGCAGGAGGGGGTTTGCCAGGTTCCTGAGACAATGCATCTCTCCCCCACCACCCTCCCGCATGGTCTCTATCGTCATTTTGGCGTATATACATACACATTGAGCTTTTAAACAGAGAAATTCAACACCTCGTTTGACGTCAATTTTTATTATGAATTAATACAATGACATTGTGATTCGATATCATGGATGCAAAGCATTAATTATGATATCACATAATGTCTATATCATTATCTCGTGCTTTGAGTGCCCATCCTGTCCCACATCTGACGATAAAGGATAAAGCGCACGGCCGAGAAATTTTTCTCATAAAAAGTGTTGATTTACAAACAAATTTATGTAGCTGAGCAGGGGCGGGGGGGGGGGGCTCAATCCGCCCCTGATTTCACTGGGTGCTCTGTTATAAAGAAATTCCACTTTTAGATTTCACTCATTTTACACGAAATTCTAGACTACTCCCCTAGCTTACACGGGAGAATATCTTACTGTCAGTGCCTCTCTTTTTAATCAAAATTGGATAAAACTGTGACCTCAAGATTGTCCACAAACAAATGTGAACGGACGTACGGACGACTGGACGTTCAAATGCCCAGATGGACGGACATATGCGACAACATAATACGTTCACAGAACATGTGGGCGTTTCAAAGTTCGCTCAATCGGTCCAGTGGGTAAAATTATAAATAAATAAAAGCCGAAGAAAATGGCAACCATTTTGAAAATGAAATAGTTATAACAGGATTTTCTTAATAAATAACTCTAAACTGACACTCATACACATTTTAGTTCTTGTTTCCAGATTTGAAAGATTTTTAAAATTAGCTGGCCCACTAATAATGGGAAATGTCACATTGTGGAAATTCTACCGTCCAAAGTTGCCCCCCTTTGTTCCGTCATATTGGGGATACTCGATTGAACATTCCGGAATTAAATTCTCTCTATTCCATGAATAGTGTCAATCGAGTGAATAGGAAAATTTCGGAGTACAGCGCATGCGCCGACTGCATAAAAAATATCCCAGCCAATCATGACAGCTGAAACATATTTGTTACTTAAAATACGTCACGATTCTGCTCACACCACCTCAGCTGTCGGGACTGGTAGAACTGTGACAGGACTGAATTCCGTATCACTTGATTGGAATTCTGTCAATTCGGGACGTTCTGGACTGACAATCTAGCACTCCCATTGTTGTACCATATCCTGTTGGAGTTTGATTATTATTATCATTCGAATTAAAACACAGAGAGGGGGGATTGATTTAACGTCCACTCTTAACAACTAGATAATTTCAGAACAAACATATGGTTCAATTTAATTTTAATAATTCGCTTGTGCGTAGGTTTTTTTTAGCAGTGGGAGGAAACCGGAGGAGCCGGAGAAAACTCTCAATTATTAGCAAGGGCCAAGTTAGCTTATGCAGTTAGTATGGTGTTGGTTAACTAACCAGGATGTCCCAGCTTCGATCGAGGTGTTAGCTAAAAACGTCCCTCAGGAATTTTACTTCACCCATTTCAAGGACAATATTGGTGCCATTCATTATCACATATGTGATAGAGCTGGTTAAACGCATAACAAATATAATTTTAACACAGAGATCGTTGCTACGATAGCTGAGTAATACAGGTTTCCTGCATCGGAAGTGACGAACGCCAAAGGAAAACACGAGTCATCCCTCTATATAACTGACTGATGTGACTTGTGATAACAGATACACGGCCGAATTTATCAAAACGCAAACTGTGTGTCACCTAACGACAAACGTGATGATTTTTATTTTCCAATCAAAATTTGGTCGTTGAATTGCAGATACATACATTTGTCAGATGCATAAGGGGTTTAATTTCACCGTTGTGCTAGAGCATGTCCAAAGTTAGCGCTAATGAGGGATACTGGCAGTTAGACCATTCTCCTGGGTAAGATAATGGGAATTTTCTAGAATTTTGTTCAAAATAAATAAAATTCATCTTCGCATCATCTGAAAAAACGAATGACCTAATCTATGAGTGGGGTGCGGGAGACGTTTATCAAGTTAGTTTCGTTTTCACGTCATGTCACGTATTCTTCACTGCGATGGGGTCACGGAAACCAGTTGGTCCAAGGGCCCAGAACAACATGTCCTCCTACAACTACACCATACACTTTATGACAATGGATTTTACACACATAGCCATTTTGATTTTATTCGAATTTAACAACATACTATGCCCCACACTTGATCAGCAGTGAATATTATCTAGGCCGCTACAATCACTGATAAGGATGGCACCGATGCGACTTAATGGGCCACAAATATTAACTTTTATCCTCCGACAAATTAAATTCTAAAACATTTTTTTATGTATTAGATAAAAAAATAAAGCTGTTTAAAGTTTTTGAAGGTAAAAAATATTTCCTATTTAGTGTAAATGGGTATTAAAATGAGTAAAAGGCACAATTCTGTCCGAACCAGTAACGTCTTATGTAAACAATGCACACGCCATTGAGCCAATGATTGACGTCGCGTGATGAGACGTCGCGTGTTGAAGGTAGTCATCTTTTACAGAGATATTAGAAGACTTTCGTAATCCGCTGTGAAACAGATTGATTATGCCCAATGAACTTTGCTGTAGTCTCATGGATAGCATCGACCGGGGTATATGGGAGGTATATGTTTAGTTCAAAATGCGATCTAGAATTAAAAGCAGAAAATCAAAAGTACAGAAAGTTGTTATCTAAAAGGGGTATTTTTGCGGTGGAAATCGATGACTTTGTGAATTTATTCTTAAGAAACTTCGACCTTTCAACTTTAAATCACCGGATTTCTACATTCATCGACCGAATTTCTACTTTCTACTGTCAACCTTTGCCTATCCGCTTTCTACTTTGGATTTTCTACCCCGGTTTTTCTCAAATATAATTTCCATCCATGTACTCTGTCGTGTAAACGAATCCCTGAGATTTCAAATTGGATTAGGAATAGTAGACGGAACCGCCGTTGATCTGGAGAAATATCATCTATTACACGGAGGATCTTGGTGGCTAAGTGGGTAAGACGCTGGCTCGCTAGCCCGGAGGTCGGGTGTTCGATCCCTGCATTGGCCGAGAAAGTTCATCCAGATTTTCCGGCGTGGTTTCCCCTTGTCAGTGATGCAGGACCTAGGGCCTAACAAGGAAAGCTGTCTAGTCTTTCGGATGGGACGAAAAACCGAGGCCCCGTGTCCATATTGACAGTTGGAATTCGATTTAAGAGTAGGCCATAGTGCCCTGTCCGTATTGGAAAAATAAATAAAGGCGTTTGACGTATTTGTAGGTAAAAATTATTTCCTATTTAGTGTAAATGGGTATTAAAATGAGTAAAAGGCAGCATTCTCTCCGAAGCAGTAACGTCTTATGTAAACAATGCCATTCAGCCAATGATTGACACCGCGTGCTGTGACGGCACGTGTTAAGGCAGTCATCTTTGACAGAGATATTACTAGACTCGTAATTCTCTGTGAAACAGATTGAACAGTCATGTGCCCTAACCTTATTTACATCTCAGCGGCCATGCACGAAACTTGAGTTGGCCTTAAAATATGTCTAGCTCGTCTTCATTCGCCCAGTCGGTGCAAAACAGTAGGACGTTAAACATTTCATTTCATTATATTTTAAAAGACTGCAAACAAAACACAAAAGACTATGCTGAATTTTCCAATGGTTACATTTAATTTCTTTAAATGAATAAACATTTGCTACTATTGAAAACAATTATTATATATTAACATGTTCATAGACTAGGATTGAAAATATATTCATAAAATAAGGAAAATCTATTTATTTTAAAATTTTAGATAAGGTCGTTGGCAAAATTGTTGTCAGGAATCATGTCTCCACCAGATCCAAGCATTGGGTTCATGTATGGGTTCATCATGTAGGGGTTCATCATATAACGGTTCATCATACCCATTCCACCAAAACCGCCGAGACCAAAACCTCCGAGCCCCATTCCACCGAGTCCCATTCCACCCATCATATATGGGTTGTATCCCATTCCCATTCCCATCATGCCCATGCCCATACCATACATGCCCATACCGCCCATATAAGGGCTTACACCCATCATCCCGACTCCTGGCCAGTAGTAGCCATTAACAGAAACCATGGCCAGTGCCATATACAGGGAGACAACAGCTAAAAGTTTCATTTTGGGATATTGGATATGGCTGAAATAGAAAAAAAAATGTTTTTATGAGTTTAATATTGAACAACAAAAATTATGTGATGCGATGAAATAATACGTTATTAAATTAACACAAAATGGCTGTTTCAGTTGCAACCAAGATCTGAATCCTTAAAGCTGCATTATGTAGGAGCTGAATCTGCCTATTACAGATCTTTATTTTAGCTTAGGATGTTATATAAGTTATTATTTAGACATTAATTAACATGGCAAGCCTATAATCAACTCTCTCTAGAACATCGATTGAGATTTAATTAGATTTAAACATCCACGAGATTTAAAAAAAAAATAACGACAAAATAAACAATCGAGGCTAAGTCTCTGTTGTCGAGTACCGTTGCTACGATAATGACGTTATTAAAGCGTCAAACAGTTATAGCTTCGCTTAGAATAAAATAATTTAAATGAAAAATTCAATATATTCGATTTTCATTATCTATTTTGAACTATTATAGCAAGAATGGCTACTATATCTTCGAAGCTTCGCTCAGAATAAAGTAATTTAAATGAAAATTTCAATACATTCGATTTTCAATATCTATTTTGAACTATTATAGCAAGAATGGCTATTATAATAACGCTTCATCTTCAAATAGTCATATCTTAGCTCAGAATAAAGTAATTTTAATAAAATTTTCAATCATATTCAATTATCAAAATCTATATTTGAACAATTATAGCAAGAGCTTGTACGTGACAAGAACGGTCAGCTTTTAAACTAAATCTTACTTAATGCATCTTTTATGCAATTTAATTTGCAATCACAAACATATTAAAATCACTTATACCAATATGTTGGTGTATCTTCATTTTAATAGTAAGTGCAGGAGGACTGCACTACACGCAAAACAAAAATCTACAAGATAAACCTGCGGACAAGACAGAAAATAGACATTGCACCAAATAAACAAATATCAAATCAAGTGGATGAATCCGGAGCAGTTAGTAAAATATTATCAAAGATACATTTCTGCATCAGAAAATCGGTTTCTGTGAGCTATAGATATATCTAATATACAAACCTATGAGCTTGACTCAATGGATGTTGAAATGAATTTGAGAATGTTGATATAATTTCTCGCTTTTATATCGTCCAGCTTTTAAAATTATCATCAACTTCACATTTCCTGCTTGACCATAAGAGTTCAACAGGTGAAATATTATGCTATTTAATTAGAAATTATAGCTTGGCAGGCACGAGTTTAACCTGACCTTTCCCCCCGAAGGATCCGGAGGTGTCTTAATCAAAACTCATCTCATTAAATTTTTAACCGGAGTGAGCTTCACAGCAGAGTGTGGCATTTCTATTAGAAACCCACACAACACACACACGAAGACATGGTTTACCACAAATATTAATTTCTTTCTTTTGGTCCATGTTTCTGTAAATAAATGAGAGAGAGAGAGGGAGAGAACAGAGAGAGAGAACTAAGCGGTTGAAATTTCCGCCTAGCCTCGATCATTATTACTAAAGTCAGTACGATAAACAGCATAGTTTCGATTATCCATTTAATCGTTAAATCGTGAAGGAAAGTTATGCAGTAAATCGGCTCATAATCCACTAAAGAGAGAGAGGAGGGGGGTTAAAGTCAACTCGACACAAACTAGGTCATTTCGGGACTAACATATGGTCCAATTTTAGTTCACTAATTCGCTTGAGCGTAGGGGTCTTTAGCAGTAGGAGGAAACCGGAGGACCCGGAGAAAACCCACGAGGTTGGACAGGCGACCCTACTCCTTGTCACGTACATCTGGGGATTCGATATACTTATTGAAAAACGACTACTATTTACGTTGTAGTCCCGGATAAATCTATTTGTTACGGTCAGCTCAAATTTCGTCAAGGTCGCTGAGATGTAAATAAGGTTAGGACACGTGATTGCTGGCGAGATTGTTGGTTAGGGTTAAGATAAGCATTAGGGCTAGGTCCAGAATTAGGGTTAGGGTTAGGATTTTTAGCGCTAGACTTGTTTGCATCTCGTGACCTTTGACCAAACTTTAAATTGGCCTTATCAAATAGATCTAACCTTGTAGCCCCGTTTTCATTGGCCCAGTCGGTGTAGAAAAGGACTTTAAACACCTTTTCATGTCAGTTCAGAACTTCTGTACGCTTCTTTTATACTCCCACGGAACTCCAATGTAAGTCGCTATCCCTTTATTATTACACGGAATCAACAAATTATTCACACTTAAAACCATTGGTCTTCATTTATTAAGTTATTAATCCCTTGAGCCTCGGAAAGAATATAAGTCCAAATATCGTTCATTTCCTTTCATTATTAGTTAAAAACTAAATAATGTAAAGGCAATTTGCTGAAAATTTCATTTAAATTGATCCACTGTCAACCGAGAACTAAGCGGTTGAAATTTCCGCCTAGCCGCGATCATTATTACTAAAGTCAGTACGATAAACAGCATAGTTTCGATTATCCATTTAATCGTTAAATCGTGAAGGAAAGTTATGCAGTAAATCGGCTCATAATCCACTAAAGATCGCAGGCTAGCGAGGCCATCTAGAGTGGATTATGGTCTGGATAGGTTAATTAATGTCTAATTAATATTTTATATAACATTTAAGGCCTTAAGAAAGACCTGCAATAGACAGATTTAGCTCTTGCATATTTTATGTTTAATCAAGATATAACAAATATTAATTTCTTTCTTTTGGTCCATGTTTCTGTAATTAAATGAGAGAGAGAGAGAAAGAGAGAGAGAGAGGGGTTAAAGTCAACTCGACACAAACTAGGTCATTTCGGGACTAACATATGGTCCAATTTTAGTTCACTAATTCGCTTGAGCGTAGGGGTCTTTAGCAGTGGGAGGAAATTGGGGGACCCGGAGAAAACCCACGAGATACTCCTTGTCACGTACAAGCGGGAAATCGAGGAACAAGGGCAAAATTTCCCTCATAGTACACTGAACAGCGTATGTCCGTCTTGATTAGCCCCATTCGGAGCAGATCATTGGGACGTTAAATCCCATTTCATTTCATTTCGTTTTGGTTAATGCTTTGATAATACAAGTTACCATTAGGAATAGGGCAGTAATTGTATATTTTTATATTTGCTAACGGGTAACGCCAATCTGAATAATGGACAATATTTGTCAGACATCAAAAATGTAGATTCGTGTAGATACAAGCGCTACTTATCTTGTACTTCACTGAGACAGCGCTCTTCGAAAAAAGCCCAAGGCTTCGCCAATTCAAGCACGATCACCATGTAACTTGAAATGCTTGTTCCTTGGACGCATTGATTGTCGGACTTCGATTTGACGTCATCATTTACCGTGCTTGTTATTTTCGCAAATATGAAACAACAAAATCTAGAAATCTTAGTTTCTATCAATTTCCCCTTATTACAAGGTTAGAGCTATTTGATAAGGCCAACTTCAAGTTTGGTCAAAGGTCACTAGATGTAAACAGTGCTCGCGCTAATCCCAACCCTAACCCCAACCCTTGACCTAGCCCTAATGCTTACCGTAACTCTAACCTACAATCTCATAAGAGAACCACGTACCCTAACCTTATTTACATCTCAGCGACCTTGACGAAAATTGAGCTGGCCTTAACAAAAAGATCTAGCCCTTAATGTACACCCTGTCATACAGATAAACTAATACTATCTATATAACTTAACCAGCTTGAGAAAGCTTAGTTTCGATTTAATTTCCCCCTATTACACGTCGTGTCATAGAGACCAAAATGGCTATCAAATTGAGCTTAAAAAAAAAACCATACATTTAAAAATACGTTATACAAGATTTGTATGCTAAAAGCGGAAATTGCAAATTTTCTAAGAAAGTCAAAACGTAATTATTTCTATGTCTTTTGCTCAATAGGTTGTCAACTCACAATTATACGATCATAGGTGTCATTCTCACACTTAAGATTCATTTAGACATGAAATAATAATACAATTACCTCCCAATTACCTCCCTTGTTTTCTATTCTCCACCATGGAGTAGCGATATTCAAACGTTTAAAAAAGAAGAGGAAAATGATATTTTTGCCAATTTCTCAGCTGGCAATAGTGAATTATAGGATTGATAGGATTATTCTTTAACAAGGTAGGATTGTTTATGGATACCATATTTTCAGGCTTTATTTTAATAAATTTTAAAAATATAACTTAAAAATTTGCAATTTCCGCTTTAAAAGGCCTGAAAACAGAGTGCGACAGATATAAAAAAGTGGCTGTCTTTTAGTTTAAAAATAGCTCATAGATTTGAAAATACCTTTATCACATGATTATTTTTAATTATTTTTAAAGAAATGTTGTTAATGATTTGAAGTTATACAATAAAACGTGGTTGAAGTAATTAGTAATATTAGGAAGTTGTTATAACTCGGGGCTAATTGTCAATGTCATTAATCACTGTCAAATGTATAAGTAGTGGTTAGTTCAAACTGGTATTTTAAGAGAGAGAGAGAGAGAGAGAGAGAGAGATAGTGTCACTAGACACTGTTCTTGTCAGACCCTCCACCCTACACAACTGGGGTGCATTTTATGTGGGTGGCACTTTTTGTCTACTACATTTTAAAAAATCTTGCATTTTTCTGTATGGACCAGGACAGAATGAGGGCATAAAACCAGTCTGAAATTGTTGCTTTAAACTGCTTTTTGTTTAACAGTTGTAGGTACGGGGGCGGGGGCGGGTGGGGGTGACAAATGCAGCTCGAACGACGCAGACTATAAAGAAAATAGAGTATTTTATTTATGAAGGAGAAAATAAAGTCCCCTTAATACTACGTCATACTAATATAATAAGCCCTGTAGCCAATAACAGAATATATTTAATATGCCAATGAACTATCTATCTAGTGTACATTGATGAAAATATAGGAGTTCCTATAGAAACAATCAATCACCCCAATACCTACCTGCCATTTTTATTAAAAAAGAATTAATCAAAAATAATCTAGGCTTTGAAGCCACTAAGTTTTCACACTGATTGAACAAGGTAGGTAATTTATGATTTATAA